GCTAAACTTTCGCGCCCTCTATAGTTTCATAATCACGAAATAAGAGAATTTTGCATCGGGAAGTACAGTAATGTAACCTTCGAAGAAGGGGGTCGATTTTAATTGTCTCTGCACTTGTAAATCACCACACATCAACTTGATTGTAATATGATGATCAGGGTTTTCATCTCCTTTGTCACAAGCAGCTTAGATAACCAGTGGCAAAGTAATTAGATGTGCGGCCTGTTATCATAGATCGAGAATAATCATATGTAGTTAATATATACATATATTTCTACATACATCACAAAACACAACCCACATTAATTTGGGCGCCTGATGAATTTGCTATTTTCTAAAACTAATAATGCAGTGAAATTCTTAGATTTTACAATGAAAGGAGATATATTTTCAAACTCGCAATAAAACTCATTGTTTTATAAAGAAAACTAATCAACTCAAACTAAAAACTATACGAACACTTCATAAGTCTAAATTATCGATATAGAATGTATGTTTTGTTTTTGTTTTCTAATAGATATAACTCAGGAATTGAGTGGTGTTTATGTTTCTATTCTTGACCACAGATGGCAGCACAAATTCAAAAGCTCAAGAAAACTCGCACTTGCCACGAAAGAATAAAAACGTCACCAGTTTATATTTTATTAGCGATTTCGTAAGCTAATGATTTGAAACTGTGCTCTAAAAATAAACATAAATGTATTTAAAATGAGATAAAATAAAACGAAAGGTATTCATCCAAAAATACCAATGTTTGCACTTTGAACATTGAAAATTCTACAGTTACTATAAGGTTACAGTATTCTAAGGATTGGTATGTGAAAGAGACCCACGAGTGTGTTAACAAGATCATGAATTTCTTTATTTGATTATGGGCTATTTTATCGCGTGTTTTTTTTTTCCAACGTTAAAATTATTCTGGGCAGTTTTGAGGAGCAGATTGTCTTTTAACTCTTCATTATTCTATCAGGAAAGTACGCAACTTCCATAAACAGATATACCACTGTTTAGTACACAACATTAATAGTTAATAATTATGCTTCCTCCTTAAAATTGCATAGCTTTAATAACCAGAACCTGATGACCTTCTAAAAAATTGTTGCCCGGTGGAACAGCGGTGAGTCTACGCTCTTACAACCCTAAAAATTAGATATATAGAAAATTACACGAAATTATTAGTCGTCTTATTTGTCTTCTATCGAAACACACGACAGCAATAAACAAAATATCTCCCGCGCAAAAACTTTAGGTGTTGAGTGTAAATAAAAATTAAAAATAAGAAAACAAAATGTTTCACCGAGATTACGTGCTATTAAAAACGCACAGGTTGACTGTATCATTAGCAGGAAACTTTTCCATAAGTATTTCTTAATATTTATGTTTTTTCATTACATTCTTCTACATATTCAAACACAACGGACGGACAGACATCTGTTTTCCCAAATAGTACCATTCTGCTAGTGAAACGTATTGAAATTCGGCAAGATATAATTAATTTTGGTATTTCAAGCCTCGGTCTAAAACTGAGGACTAAATAATTCATATTGGAAAACTTTCTTGTAAAGAACATTTTCAATATTTCCACCTTCAGAGACATAAGTTTTTAATCGATCCAATGACTATACCCTGGGTAGAGCTACATAGAGCTGACCATGAGGAAAAAATGGACTGAGATAAGTACAACTCAGACAGCTAACTAGACATCCGTTTTTCCAAATTATATTATTGTAAGGTTTGTCATAATTTTCCACCTGTTACGAACATTGCATATTACATGGACGGTAAAGATGTCAGGCCTAACTTTTATCGACACATGTTAATATCTGTGTATATGTGTTGTCAAAAAAATTTACCTCAAAATTATTAAATCGTAATTTTCATGTAATACTGTATCAACAAAATGCTTTTTAAAAGTCAATTTTCAAAGTATCGTTTATTTCATTTCTTGCTAATAAAAATGTGTTACATTTTTTATATTTGTTTGAACTTTTGGTGAGAACGCCATTAGGTACATGTATTATCCATACGTAAGTCAAGGTTTTATGTCAAGTTGGAGTCTGAAGAACCAGTGGTAAATGATATTCTCGGTACAGCATTGCCTTTTCCCTGATGCAGGATAATGCGTGGTATCATCCTTCCAGAATTATGATGGACAATCTTAAACGTGCAACCACAGAAGTGATGGTTTAATTAATAAAGAAATATTGACTTATATTCCATAGAATAGGTCTTCTTGGATGCCGTGTATGTAAATGTCTTAACTCGTCACGTCAGAAAGTTTGGCTTTGCTCTGACTAATGTTATCCACCTAGCGGTCAGATGCATGGACGATATCAATGTTTGACATAAAGCGATAATTTAAGGCCATAACTTTGACTACTTGGAAGATGAGTTGACTGAAATTCTACCGATTGTAATTATAGGAGTCAATAAAACTGTTTTCTTAACTTTATTTTAAACGTACACATTTGTTTGTGCCTGCGTTATAGCTGTATACTGTTTTACTTGCAGGTTTTTAATGTTCTCATTCATCAAAACAAATAGTAAGATTTAATGAAAACATACTTTATCAATACGTCATCTCTATACCGTAATGTTTAGAAGTGTGTTTGTAACACTTTTTTTTTCTTTGGACGTCGGATGTCATGACACCCACAGTCTTGATTGTAAGGTATCGTTACATGTTATATGATATTGATGAACCTTTACTATAGGAGTTTCTTTTATTGGTCTATACTTTAAAAACGTGGCTTAAACAAACATTTATCATAAGTTGGTCACGTATCATCATTAACCCCGCTTTCGTTTGCCATATCTTGATTGTTTCTGGACATAAATAACAAAGAACTAGAAATGTAGACACGAATAATAAGCAGCTCGTTGTTGTTGTTTCTATTGCAAACTACAGAATTTTCATCTGGTACTTATAAACAACAATAATCAGATGCGTTTTAGATGGCTTGATAAGTACAAACAACACAGCAATAGTAAGGTTCTTACAGGTTATCTTGCTAAAGTAGAAATATCGACAAATGGATCTTCATCAAATACAAATAATAACAATGATAGTATGATTGAATTGTCTTTATAAATTCATGAAGTGATATTTTTAGGGACACCGAGTGCTAATCTCAATACTCTATTTTGTGCACTCTGCATTCTAAGGCTGGTGAGTTTTCTGACTTTTAAAACACCGATTATTGACTCTCTATTGCACATTGTAACGTACAGATAACAAATATATACTTATTTCTGAATCCACATATTTTAATTGGATTCTTTTACTTCCAGGTAACAGTATAAATAAGCCATGGAATTATTTCTGTTTGTTCCTCAATTGAACAATGTTACTTCTAGGTAACGTATCCATTTATAACATTTAACAAAATATATTTCACAAAAACATATTTTTGTTGTGCAATATAGACCTATTTAGGTAAGAATTTCAAAGAAAACATTTTTTACCGTATTTTTATAAATCGTGCGATAGAGAATTAAATTTAAGTTTCCAGTAAATAATTATTAAAGTTCTAATGTGACAGCATGAAAACAATGAAGTAATATTTACAGTTTGAAAAATCAATACTACTCAGAAGTAAGAGCTTTTACTTCTATCATACATTTTACCAAATATATAAAGTTATGTACCCTACCACTCACCATTTACACTAAGGGATTGCCGGTCACTCCTATGACGCACTCACAGCTTAGAGTACAGAGAATATGTTTTGATATCACACGGATTTTAACCCGGCTTTTCAACTCCAAAATCCAGAGATTTTCTCATAAAATTTATGTGCTAAGAACATTAACAATATAAACCCATACCTGTTCAATGAAAATCTAAATGTAAATCCTTAATTTTCCAAACTCTGCAGTTTTTGTTGGTCTATTAAAACCAACTTGTGTTGGGATAAGAATTCTTTATTCCAGGAAGTTGAATAATCTATTCGATTTTATCTTTATTTAAAAAACCTGCGATTTTGGTAAAACTCATAGTCATCTGACTTAGAACTTGACCACTCTTTAAACGTTTTTAATCATTAGATCAGATATATATTAACTAAAATACTAGCAATTACTGTAATTTTAATGTAGTTGGTCTCTCTTATAGTACGAAGGTTTAGTGTACGTCAAAAACTGTGACGTTACACAAACAATGTTACTCCAATACAATTTAATCTACCTTGGAAAAATAGGGAAGAAAAACTATAAAAACACCAGTCAGTGTTTTTAGGCTCTTTGGCTTTAAGAATAAAAAGTAAATCCCATAAATGCCTATTAGTGAAATCGTTCTTGCTCAAAAAAAGGGACGAACCGATACTCTAAGCAAGTTTCTCTTCTGTAAATTTAGAATATTTTTACTTCGCAGGTGTAGGGTCGTTGTACCGCCTTTGAAGAAACCGATCCTAAAACAAGCAAGTAAGACATTATGTTCATAGAGAGGTGTAAAAAAAATAATGTACAGGAGCTTCTGACATCACATGGTGCGGGTGTCAGAAGCGTTTAATACTTGACTGGATGCTGTATCTAGGAGAAACTCGCTCTCGTGTTATGTTGAAAAGATGGTGAAAAATCACTCATCTATACATACACATTTGTCGTTGGCAAGAACTGAATTTGTCAAACACATTTGAACACGTAATCCTAAAGTTGTTCCTTTAAAATTAAACACAGGTGGGAACGGCGACTTTTACCTGAGAATTTTATGGTTTCCTCTTTTTCTTTAGGGAGGGAAACTTGCGTCGTGAAATCCTGTTTAAACAAAATAAACTTGTTTCAAAAAGCAGCAAGAACACTTAGCTATTTTATCACAAACAGGCAGTAAAATGCTAACAACATTATTGCGAGTGATATAGGGACAGCAGTGCTAGCAATAGTATAGCGAGTGACATAGGAATACACCTGGTATTTGAGAACTCTTATTTCTAATAGATGTATTAGTTCATTAAAGATTGCATAGTTTCTGGGCATGCGCGAGTGCTTTGGGTACCTCATACCGAGTTTATAATGATTGTGTTTCTCGTGTTTAAGTAGCTGGTATTTTCAAATATTCTTACCTTGTTAGAGTTTTGGTTCATTTTGTTATATCCTCACCTTGTTAGAGTTTTGGTTCATTTTGCTATATCCTCACCTTGTTAGAGTTTTGGTTCATTCTGCTATATCCTCACCTTGTTAGAGTTTTGGTTCATTCTGCTGTATCCTCACCTTGTTAGAGTTTTGGTTCATTTTGCTATATTCTCACCTTGTTAGAGTTTTGGTTCATTTTGCTGTATCCTCACCTTGTTAGAGTTTTGGTTCATTCTGCTGTATCCTCACCTTGTTAGAGTTTTGGTTCATTCTGCTATAAGGATGTAAGATGTTCAAATAAAAATTATGTATAAACTTCTCAAATTATAGAGTTTATTTAAACTTACAATACTGAAAACAATTTTGAAATCTCTTTATCTGATGTACTGGTCTCAAATAAACCTCAAATATATACGTGAATTATTAATCTCAAAATAGTTTTTTCACTCAATTGCTCTTACTTCTTTTTGAAATGATCTGAAAATGTAAATAGAAGATGTTTACTTTCATAATGCTAAGAATGAACGAAGGGACGAAAGTGTATATAAAACACAATTCGAGAAGTTTGATAACCCAGTTCCTTCTGAAAGATAGTTTTCATACTCGCAGTCTACCATTATTGTAGGAAAGAGTTCATGTAGGACTCATTTCAATAGAGGAACACAATGTATATATAATAGTCATAATAAAAATCAGTTCACAAAACACTGTTTGTCTTCAGCTTAGCATATCTTTTATTTTCTATTTCAACATAGACTGCTAAGATAGAACATGACTGTGACCCGATCTTGTACAAACTAGAACAAGGGAAGAAAGAGTGGGAGTCTGTAAATCAATACTACTATGACATATTGCTACTTAATGAGCTTCTTGGACTTTTAAAAGTTACTCACGACAACAGTCTTTCTCTCATACGTTCCATATAATGAATTATTAGTCTACTTTTACTTTGGTTTCGTCTTGGTTTACTTTTGCAAACGTTTGCTAAGTCTTTTACGGTTGTATGGTATTAACGAGAGGTAGTTTTAAGATCCAGGATCCAGCTGTTTGAATACAAAGATACAACTGATGTGAAACCAGATCCAGCGGGCTCTACTACACTTCACCATCTAGGCCAGTGTTCATGCAGTTTATTACTGACATCAAAACAACTTCGTAATCAAAGAGGTTCCAAGCTTTAGGTTTTGGTATTCAAATGTTGAAAACGGGGTGAAAGATTGATGGTTGTGTCATTACTCAAAGGAGGAATGCCGTCAACATGAGCAAAGACAGCCGCCATGTTTTAATCGTATGTCAAAGAATGACTGGCCAGTGGTCAGTGGCTGACCACACAAGTAAACGCGCTAAGCGGTCGCTCACAGCGGCTTATGTTCATTAGGGTTAATGGCTCCCCTGACCGTCCTCTGGACTGACCAGGTGAATATCTGTTTGACCCGGTCACCCCAGAAGGAGATAGTTCTCTAATCCTTCGATACCTTCCTGCTATGGGTTCTTAATTTGCTTACAGTTTCTTTGCAATCTAACTTCGTTTCGTGGACAAAACTTTCTCTTTAGAATTAATGCTGAAAGTTCTCAGAGACTGGGTACTGTTTGATTAATCTTTGATGGAATACAATTTATAGTTTTAAGTTTTGAAATTAGAAAACATAAGCATAAATTTTGCTGGTTTTAGACAAAACTACACAATAGTTTCTCTGTGCTTTATTCATCGCGAGGAATCGAACCACGGATTTTAACGCTGTAAATCCGTAAACTTTCCGCTGGTGCATCGAAGGCTAAGAATTGATTGTTCAGTACAAGAGAGTAAATCAAAACAGCATTAAAAATAAAGTTAACCAAACAAAACATCTCTTAAGTAGTTTGAACATAAAATATACATATCCAGTATTTTCCTGAAAATAGCCACACAAGTATGATACCCTGAAATACAAAACGTATAACATTAATTAAAAAGTAGTGAAAAAAGGATGATATAAGAAAAAATAGTTTCACGAAGTAACCGAGACCTCTTGTGTGCTATAGTTTTTCAATAAAACAATATTTTCCTTCATCAAAAATTTACTGTTTTATCAGGTAAGTAAATAATACAGTATGGTTTTCAATAAAACAATATTTTTTCTTCATCAAAAATTTACTGTTCTTTCAGGTAAGTAAATAATACAGTATAGTTTTTCAATAAAACAACATTTTTCTCCATCAAATATTTACTATTCTATCAGGGAAGTAAATAATACAATATAGTTTTTCAATAAAACAATATTTTTCTTTCTCAAAAATTTACTGTTCTATCAGGGAAGTAAATTATACAGTATGGTTTTTCAACAAAACAATATTTTTCTTCATCAAAATCTGTGTTTAAAAATTTACTGTACTTTCAGGGAAGTAAATAATGCAGAATATGTTTTCAATAAAACAATATTTTTCTTCATCAAAAATTTACTGTTTTATCAGGGAAGTAAATAATACAGTCTGGTTTTTCAATAAAACGATATTTTTCTTCATCAAAATCTCTGTTTAAAAGTTTGCAGTTCTTTCAGGGAAGTAAATAATACAGTATAGTTTTTCAATAAAACAATATTTTTCTTCATCAAAAATATACTGTTCTTTCAGGTAAGTAAATCATACCTGTAAATGTTCTTACGATTGTACAAAGTACAAGAAGCGATTTAAGGGAGAGGTAACAAACAATTTATTTTTCTTATGGTCCGTAAATCTCATTAATTATAATATTTGAAATAAATGTAAATTATTTTTAACTATAAAAAGCATTTTGCACTGTTAGCCTTGTGTGTGTGTTACCCTATCTAAATCCCTTAAGCTGCTGGATCCCGTGAGATTTATTTAGATTAAGACTTAAATATCATTAACAGTTACCTAATTTGTGATTTACTGTAATCTAATCGCCAAAGAATTTTGTTTTCTGATACATTAATTAAGATCAGGTCATTTTATGTTATTTATTGTCGTCATATAATTGTTCTTTGAATTTATACATGTATGCTTGTCGCTCATAATTATCATTCAATACAAGCAGAATATTAATAATGTTGTTTTTCGTTTTTACCTATTCATTTTATTCGTTTATATACAGTTTCATTATAAAAATGTTAGTAATGTCATTGCTTTCCGACACAGCGCTCACTATTCCGATATATTGTGAGGTTTGTTTGTTTTTCTAATGTAAAACAATCCACTGTTTCCTAACATACTTTGTTTGATAGTTAGTATTCTTGAAGGGAATCCGAAACATTCTTGTATTATTTTGTTTGTTGCGAACATTACAAAAGAAACACAAACCAGATTATAATCATTTCTATTAACAATATTTTAGCTGTTTCAAATATTCCTCGGTCTACCGATAAAATATGAATGACATGTTAAAGTAAGCTAAGCGAGTTATGCTTTCAACAGTAATGCCGCTCTGGATATCACACTTCACAAGAACTAAGCAGTAAAGATCAGGTGCAGAAGCTTTCTCTGTACCGCCTAAACGCCTGGAGCTCAAGTCATAGTCGCCGACAAATTCCGCTGAGGGTCGTTTCACACTTCGCAGAGTCCCGCAAATGGTAGCCGCGAGTGTCGTAAATGCTAAGCTGTGTAGTCCTAACCATACCGGTCCAAACAAATCGAGAAATAAAACTGTTAGGAGAATTTGATTACACCTTGAAGACTCCTCTTAAGAAGTGATTACTTGTTCTTGTAAACTATTTATGGAACAAAATACCTTAAAGGGTATTAATTACATTCATCTTAAAGTCAAACCGACAAGAATAACGAAGTAATTTTTCCTTGTTATTATAATTACTTAGAGAAGTGTCTGCATTTACCACAGTTACAATAGTAAGTACTACTATCGGAATAAACTTACATAGTCAAGTTGTTGTTGTTTTCTTTTCCTGTGGATCTTATAAATCGTAGTGAATACATGAAAAATAAATATTAATAATCATTCCTCAACAGGATCTGTCAACAATCAATTAGACATATCTATCCACAGCCCTTAAATCATCTTAAGTTTAATTAATTAGACTTGGTATTATGTTACTAACTCTTTATAGTTACAAGAAAACGAATAAAGAAGATATTAGAATTCTAGTGCCCTCCGCTGGTTCAATGATGAGCTCGAGGGCTTATAACGCTAAACTCTGGGGTTCGATCTCTTCGGTGAGTTCAGCATAGATAACCCACTGTGTCATATTTTGTTTAACAATAAACAGACTGATAGAATTAAAAACTTTGTTACAATACTTCACTTTGGATCAACATAAAACTATACTCATCTTATGTTTCGCTAAGTTACAGGAGTTAAAAACTTTGTTACAATACTTCACTTTGGATCAACATAAAACTATACTCATCTTATGTTTCACTAAGTTACAGGAGTTAACATTGAGTTTGTCTTCACTATTTCTAATGGGTTTAAACTGAAAAGGTTGGGTTATTACTTTTTATTTAGCTTTTTAAGGATACTTATCTTAAACGTAGTAATCCAAAATGCACTTTTATGAGCTGCACGAGAAAATTAATTCCGCTTGCTTTCATCAGGAAACTTGTATCCTGTCAAGAGGATAGCCAAATTCACCTAATATCTAAAACCTGCCTTAATCAGGCTAAAAATCATGAAAATGACAGTTTTTGTGGTTTGAACGCTGTACCTTTATTATGTTGTTCACTATAATAGTTTAATTCTGAGCTGATCCATAACATTCCATCTACCTTCATGAGGTGAGATATGTTGAGAGGCGAGTATGGTCGTGACGTAGACAAACTTACAATGTTTTTTTTTAAAGTAAGTTACGTTACGTTATCATTGCCATCAGGTTTTTATACACTTCCAAAATTGAATCCTATTAAAAGGTTGGTAACCTTATTAAGAATGTTCCTCTCGACTCAATCAGATCTTCGTTATCGAACTAGTTAGAATATTACATAGACTAAACGAGTACATTTCACTCAGTGTTAATGAATCATCAAACATTAACATGAATATCATAGTACACCAAAAATATATTAAAAATTGTATGACATTTATTTTTCTTTTCACACATGACATAGTTGTGTTATATTCTCTTTGCTAAAAGTCCTAAAATATCGGTAATTTAAGAAATCTCTGGAGTGATACTTCTCAGTTTAATCATCTCTAATTTTTTATTGAGTGAAAAAGTGTTTACTTGTAATTAAGCGTAAAGCTACACAATGGGCTATCTGTGCTCTGCCCACCAAGGGTATCGAAACCCGGTTTCTAGTGGTATAAGTCCACAGACGTACCGTTGTGCCATTGGGGAAATTATAAAACATAAGAACAAAAACAGTAAATTTTAATCTGTAAAGTTATTGTTATAAAACATTTATGAAATTAAATATGTTGGGAACAACATCTTCAAGTTAATCCACTTATGAATGCAACAAAAATAACAGAAAATAGAAGTTGTCAGTATCAATTGGGAAATAGTAATTTTGTAGTGAAATACATAGATAATATAATATGTAAATCTGCATGATGATAATATTTTAAAAAATTAGTCTTTTTTTTTTAAATAGTACAGGTTTTAAAACTTCCTGTATTTCATTGATTGTTATCATCTAACGATGGTTTTTGTGGCTTACATCTTGATAACTTTAAAACCAGTCCACCAGTTACTGCTGTTGGTGACAGACTGACCTGCCGTAAACATAAAAAATCGAATTAACTGCGTGAATCAAAGAAGCATGGTTTTTAAATAATTAAAACTCTAGGTTTTTTAAAAAATATCACAAACAAAAGTTTAACCGTTCCTTGATGACCAGTTGATTAAATCTTTATGGTATCGTAATTGCAATGTAACTAGAGAAAAATAAAAGAAGAACACACATGCTTGGAGTGCTGCTTATCATTTCAATTGAATATAATTGTTCAAGGATAATTTCTTTAGTGTGTTTATCCAATTGTTCATACGTCTTATATTATCTACTGTAGTAACAGTTAGCTAATCGATTTATTGAGTGAAAATTGCAAAAGTGGAATTCGATAAATTTGAAATTGATTTTTTTTTATTACTCATCGTATTTTCAGTTGTTAAAGTGCCGTAAATGCAAATCGCCGTTTCATCTTAAGTGTTCCTTCCACGAGAAGACCGAAGACATGGGTTTCTCGATGTTGTAGACTAGTTTTAGTCTTTCACCATGTTAAATTGCTCTATTGCTCTGGGTTGCTGAATTTTATTTGCTTGCCGAGTGTTTCACAGTAGGGAGCCAGAACTCTGTCATGATAATCCATCAGAATTATGGCACACCAACTCGCACCCAGTGTTCCGACGTCACTAAAAGCACTTGGGTATTCAGCCAATAATACGCAGGAATCAGTGGACAATAATCAGTACGAGTTCTGTACTAACCAATGAGGTTTCGGCAGGAGTAATTGACGGTAATTGTCATCCTCCCCCTGTAATTCAAGGTAAAGGCTGGGCGGTAAGCTTTGGCACGTCTCACCCAGTATCATTTCATTGTGATTTACAGTGGCCGGTGGCAGAAAGTTCCATATCAGGACTGTCGTTTTGCTTTGTTCGCACACTACTCTAGGAAATTCACTAAACGCTAACACCGTCACTCTCAGGTCTCGTTGGAGTAGTTACGTCTTTTACCCTGCAGAGAAGACGCGTACCCGCGTGTGGCACACATATTGTTAATCTTTGCCTCATAGCAGACTGGTTAGTAGGAGGGTCCGCCGTTATACAGTTATTCAGTATGTCAGTTTCCATGGCAAAGGATCCACCCACCATTACAGAGATTGCGCGGGACTCTGCCGAATTTCGATCGTCCATCAGTCGGCATTCTTCAGGTTCTGACCCCGGCTTAATGGATCCTAATTCCCCATCATCAGAATCAGACGACCGCAGAAAAAGTTGGTACGACGATCATCTCAGAACAACCCCGCCTGGCCAATCATCCGATGAAAAACTGTCACCCTCAGACTTGAAAGTTATGAAAGGTAAAACTCAACATTGTAGCACACTTATTATTTTAACTTGTTGAAAATCTGCATTAGCTTTGTAGTTTATTCCAATGGTAAACATACATTATCAACAGCTTCTTATGAAAGCAAGCTACCTACTTAGATAAGAAATAAAAACTAGCCTTATAAATAACATGCGTAATTCAATATAATGGTCTAACTAGGTGTATGTAATATCATAAAACAAAAGTATTATTTCACTTGCGCTAACGTAGTAAGTGTTTGTTATAGGTGTTTTCATTAAATAAACTGTCATATAAAGTATAATAAAACAAACTCGTTTCTGTTAAACAAGTCTAAGAATTTTTGAAGAATAATGTCTTATGATATACTCGTTTTTGTTGAAATGAGCGTTAGCTAGTCATGCAATATTTTGTGAAGAATTGTATCTGATAATATACTTGTTTTTGTTGTATTGTAATTGTTAATTCCTTCTGTAAAGATCAGTGTAGGATGACCTTTTTATTATTCTGCAGAGTGCTTGTTTCTGTTTTTCGAATTTTGTTAGGTCAGTATATAAAACTTAGCTCTGAATAAGCATTAATGTTCCGTAACATACCTTTTGATTGCAATCAATATTCAAGAACTAGTTTGATGCTTCATACAGATATGCGAACGTTACGATGCACTGCACTGTGTATGTTGCGTGCTATATCACAGACGTGCCATATTCTGGAATATTTGTTATATCTTCTAAGCACTCCTTCACCTCAGTATGAACTTGGAAAATGCCAATTTATTTTACATTTAAACTTTCTGTTTTTTAAGCATTCATCCATCAGCTCACGTTTTTCATATCTTTTATCTCAAACTGACAAGTTACTGGGAACTGTTTGATGTTATTACTGATAACACTAAATAACCATCATTATTGTGTTTTACAAAACTGGTATTTTTGTCCACTAACAGGTGAAGCTGCTATTTCAAATTTAGAAATTTAATGTTTCCTATTGTTTAGCCCCATTGGCACAGTGGTATGTCTGCAAACTTACAACTCCAGAATCCAGGTTTCGATACCCGTGGTGGGCAGAGCATAGATAGCTCATTGTGTAGCTTTGTGGTTAATTACAAACCCTATTGTTTAATATATAAATCTACTTTATATCCATTACTCGAGTACCTTTTCTAATGTTGCTGTTTTCTTAATATTCTAAGGAAATCCAAAGTTGACTGATGTTAGTTTTCCCCAACTCATTGTTTTCATACTGTTTTGTCTTCGGTATTAACAACGTTAAAATCAGGGGTTCGATTCCCCTCGGTGGACACAGCAGATTGCCTGATGTGGCTTTGCTATAAGAAAAATGCATTCATGCTGTTTTATACTTCCATCAAGATTTCCTTCTTTTCTTCATACTGCTATTACGACTCAATGATACCCAACAAAATCATTACTTTCCTTCCGGGCTACTATTTGACAAGTGTAAACTTTAAACAACATTATTATAAATAGTTTACAAATATTTTATTCGTAAACAGTGTCGCTACGATTGCTTCTTTAATATTTTCATTTCAGAGTGAATGACATAGTTGCATACGGTCATGATTTTTCTGAGTTCCACCCTCGAAACGTGCACAACATAATAACTTTCACACGTTCTTGCAAGCTTAATAACACCTCAAACAATTATTGTGACCAAAGAAAAAGGAAGATTTACTAAAACGCAAATATGACTCAGAAAACACACTAAAGGCGGGTCTTAGAAATGTGTTGGTGTGAGCATTGCATCACCCTCGTTAATCAGCATTATTGCGTCTTGGTGTTATTTTTACCTGTCTTTTTACTCGTGTGCGTAATTATTGAGCCTGAATACATTATTATTGTAGTTTGTTGAGTTTTTGACATTGTTGTATGTAATTAAAACGGTGTTACTTTTCGTGGGTAAGTTGCGATTTCCCTTTTTGAATAAACTAAAATTTTAATGAATTTGGTATAAACTTTTCTGGTGTTGTACTTTAATTTGAAATATAGTGTTCATAAAATGTGAAAGTAGTCATTTATTCAGTTATGTATCGTATTTCATCTGTTATGTATCGTATTTTATGAATATTTTCTCTCTTTGGTAATTTTGTTCACGTCTTTTTAATTTGCTAATGCATTTATTGTAGATATTGCAATGAATAACGAAGATGTCTTCGTATCTAGATTAACATTAACGGAAATAGTTTTGTTGTTGTTAGGAACATCATACTGTTTTTATGTAAAGTAAAGAACTTTCCTTATCGAAACGTAGATATATCTGAAATTTTCTTAATCAACTTATTATGACTCACCTCCGGAAATCAGTGCGGAATGTTCTTACGAACCCTATAGCCCACAATGTCAGGCGTAAAGAGAGAGAAAACGTCTCTTTGGCGATTCCAGGAAAGCCCACCCATATAGACAAGATCAATGATAACATTGTGGGGTTGAAGAACGTTAGAATAGGAGCGGACTGAAATTCCGATAGGTTCTCGGTGTTTTCTTTTTTATAGTTAACTAAACCGAGTCAGTTGTTCGGCCAGAGCTCGGAGTGCTCCTCAACTAACAGGTGGGCAACTTACGGATATACTGTAAAACTAATTGGGGAAAATATTGTAGGTTTAACTTCGTAAGGAAAGGTATGGAACCACTCTGGTTTCCCGTGACAACATGTTAAGATATATATACAAGTTTAGTGGGGCTTGTTTATGATAAGCAAGTCAGTTAGGCCTAGGGGGTTCCTTGGAAAAGCTCGTATTTTGCAGTCAATCCTGCACGAGTTTTTCGTGCGCTAAAAGGGTCGGTCGGCTGTCAGAAAGCTGTGCTAACATCGCATTCATTAATCTCACAGCATTGGAGGCGGAAAGATCGAGCAGGCGCCACGCGCCATGTGCCCTCAGTCTTTTTCATCCTGTGGTAGTAAAGCATACAACAGAAGATGAGAATCGTTCCTTACCAAGTGACGTCGTAAAAGATAAGTAGTTAGATGAAAACAGTGGTGCAAATAAAGATTTTTTTTTCAAAAAACTGTCAACTTAAGTAAGTTATTTAGATTAAAAAAGTGAGAGCGAACTGTCACCCAGTAAACATCATCATTACATATGAACTGTACGCCATCCAGAAGCAGCTGTGGACATTTGTCATTTGCAACACTAGATCTGCGCATTTTCACTGACAGCATCTGTTGTGAACAAAACCTTTCATAGAGAATCTTACGACCTCGTAGCTCTCATTACAACACATTAAGGTGACCTAAAGAGAGGAAAGGCTGTAGAACAATCTTACAAACAAAATGAAATCGCTTTCACTGTTATTAAGGGGTTGTTAGTGTGTCAAGTTGTCTTTTTGTATTAATGTATATACGTTAAAAAATATGCTAAAGAGATTAATGAAAAATAAAGTCTAAGGACATGGAAGCTGTCTTTAAATAGCTTATTTTCACATTAATTTCGCTTATATCTTTCCATCTTTTCCGATATATCATATCTCTTGCTGGCACTCCGGTGTAAAAACATTCCAGGTGAGTATCTCTCTCAACCCCCACCTTACTATCCGCCTGACTTCTTATAAGCTTCTTTCACTTACAATTTTAGCCCTCCACGCTCAATTCCCTTTAACACCTACGAGTAACATGAAAGTTTGTTTTTTAATTATGCACAAAGCTACACAAGGGCTATCTGTGCTCTGCCCAACACGGGTATCGAAACCCGGATTCTAGCGTTGTAAGTCCGCAGACATACCGCTGTGGGATTGGGGGGCGTAACATGAAGGGACAAACCAGATATTTCTCATACAATTAATATTAACTGGGGGGAGGGGTTATGGTTGGTTAAGTTTCACATGCTGGTTTGTAACAAATATTAAAGCAAGAGTAACTCTGTACAGCACAGAACTTAGATTAATCTAAGGGTGTCGTGAGATAGTGGGGTTACGGTAGAAAATATCGCTATCAATAGTGGTTGGTGCCTAACTGATGACGAATCAATGCATTCTAATCATCATAAGTTTCTTATGCATGCATCCACTTAGAACGGTATACTAAATTAAATATAACGACTAACTGGCTCACTTTTAGTTCTATCTATTTTTAGGTAACTCTTTTGATCAGACGTTAACCATAATTTTCCAAATTCTGAATAAATCGGTTTAAATGTTTTGAGATACAATGCTCAAAGCAAAATAAAAAACATTTTTAAGTTCTCATTAAAGAAATATCCATATAATAAAATATCGGATTGTCAAATAAGGATTTTGTTTCAGAATATCGCGTAAAGCCACACAAAGGCTATCCGTTATCAATTTAATGCTATATTTTGCTATAAACACTGGATCATATTCCAAACACAAAACATGACGTTTTAATTAAACAGAAGGTAATCTTGAAAATACAAAGGTGCCTTATTTTGATGCAACAATAGAACCTCTTTAGTGTGGTTCTAAATGGTAATATTTAATACATGCGTGGTAATATTTTCAGAATTACACTTTTTCTTTCATTTTTCTTTCACAAATTTGATAAAAATTCACGAAATGAGTCAAATAAACCTTGTTAAGCCGTCGTAAATATTCTTTTTCAGTGTCGATTCTGTTAGTGTTTGTTGTGATACGTGAAATCATTTAAAACACGTGTTTCTTTTACTACAAAAGTAGTATTGATGAAGCTAAAGCCTGTCAGGCTAGAAAGACATTCTATAAGGATACAGAGAACAACATTAACCTCAACACACAGGGGGAGCTATACACATACAAAAGAAATATTCTTTTTTATTCAACTACGTAAGAAATGTTTTAATATTAGCAACTGTAAAAGCACAATGGACTATTAGGCCAGAACGAAAAACAACGACATGGAAGTAAGATTAGCTTGACGTCTTCTTGCGGAGCAAGCGTGACACAGTAATTAGCGTGCTGCGTTTCTCATTCCAAGATCATAGGTTCTTAATTACGTTTAAAATGTTGTAATATTAACATGTTAAACTACAAAAATACACACAGTATCTTTTTGTTATTCAATGCCATAGCCCTTATTGCGGCGAGTGCCACTGATTGTCTGCTTTCCCTTTGGCCAGTTTAAAATTAAGGAAGGATATGTCTCAACCCTAAAAATCTTTGTCATGGCCATTTTATTTCACATAAAGTGGCGTTCAACCACTTTCCACGTTAAGGTAGTTTATTTAAATTTAGGCTTCAATGTGTTTGCTATGTGCTTGACTCGTGGTCTGAATTATCCGCGTTCCTTTGCTTCTATTTTTCTTGGTTAACAGACGACGTTTCTGAATCTCTACATAAAACCCGAAACTTAAGCAAGAAAAACATCAGAAGAATAACGTAGAAAACTGTCCACTGTTTTACAGAGTTTCTTGAACAAAGATGCTGTAGACGAGCGTGTAACATTTAATGAATGTTCCAGCCACAAGGTATAGCACGTGATAGCTGTGAATGCGTTGTATAAATGTATAATAAGTAAATTGATACATTTAAATATGTATACAACGTTCTAAGGAACAATTGGTGTATTTCTTAGGAGCATTTTATCCTTAACGAGGCTACCATCAAGTACTACAGCGCACATTAATTGCGACTTTGATCCATCTGATATTAAACGAAAGGCCTCGTCGGAACTGGATACGGCGTATTATTATGCACATTTTATTTTAATTCGGAAGTTCTTATAAATAATTAAAAAACTCGATCACGCTAGATGTTTTAAAACATGCCAACAGGTATTTCTATTAACCAATCAAATAAAATTTGATTTCGTCATTACAAGTTTCGCGGATAAACATCGTGATAGGCTGATGTATTTAGGTATTCAATAACTCCAACAACCGCAATATTCGTGTGTTGGCACTAAAGACCCAAGTAAAAATGTTCTGATAAGATAATATCTATGTTTTTAATTCCGTCTATACGATAATTTGCTTTCTTCCAGCATTGCGATTTTCGTACAATAATTAACTGTGAATGATATATTAACACTATTTTATAAAGTAGTCTCAATTATTACACATTTCAAATCAGAAAAGGATATATTCTTAAATACTTTATTGGCACGTAAGTAAATTCCTATGAAAGAAATGGTAGAAGAACATTTCTATCGGAACAAACTAATTTATTGTAATCCTCTGAATATTCATTTCCTTTCACATTTTTTTTATTGTTCTTGTTTTGTTTTTGTACCATTGAACGTCAACATATACACCAAGCTAAACAGTCAAGTCAGAGAATCTTATGGTTGAGGAATAGGCGTCCCTAATCTTGAACTGGGGACGGAGGAAAAGGAATGTGTAGTTCATGTTTTATGACAGAAAAATTAAATCAATATTTTTAATTTGTCCAAAAAAAATGTAACTGTAAATGCTAATTACAGTCCTACACACTGTCTAATAGTCTTAACAATTTTCCAGAAAAACAGTTATAAAACCTTCCATTAAATGTTAAATTTATTTAAATTTCTAAAATAAACTGGTTAATAATATCCTTCGTTTGTATTATGGTTGTGATATTGTAAAGACGTTTTAAGGTCGATACGGTGGTAATCCGAATGTTATATGTTCATTCCTAGATTCTGCTCTCGACTTGAACAACATTCGTCGATATAGAACAGCTTTCACCCGTGAACAACTGGCTCGGTTAGAGAAAGAATTCTGCCGAGAAAGCTACGTATCTAGACCCCGTCGTTGTGAGCTAGCCGCCGCTCTCAACCTTCCGGAGAGCACGATAAAGGTACGATTTTTAAAAGCCGTATAAAAACAAGACATTTTTACGACTTTAAGTTAAGTAGAAAACCGATATGAGGAATAACAATATATGAACATTTTAAACAAGTCTTTCCGTGGTGCATTGCAAGTTGGTATTGTACAGTACAAGTGATTCATTATCCCAAACCGCTTCAAAGTACAAAATTCCATCACTGTTGTAACTAAAACCTGTAAAACATTGTGCTTTTATTAATAGAAAGAAGTGAATGAGGTAATGTTTACACTTAATTAAGCTCCTTGGCTTGTTCAAAATACGTACCAATTCTAAGGCGAAATTTCAGGTTACTTGTTAGTTTCTGCATATTTGAACAAGTCTTTAAGGAATGAAGTGTTCTGAATGTATTGTACGTATTAATCATGAGAAGAAACAATAATGGTGAATCAAACTCAAACACAAGGGAATATAAAAGGTTATAGTTTCTGTTGTAAATAAATCAACAAGAACCGCACTGTTTAGTTAACTATTTTGTACTGATCCGTTTCTCATCTGATCCCTTCATAGTAAAATAACCCTTCAGTACAGTGTGTGTGTGTTGTTTTTCACTGTGAAAGATACCAATCTATAGTTATGGGAAAATATAGTTTTTTTTTGTTTACTGGACTAATTTACTTGTAAACTTAGATTAACACCTAAGAAGCCCTTCAAAACAATAGTATCGAAAATTTAGCTCTTATTGGGACAAGAAAGGTTTAAGATAGTGTCCAGATGGGATCCATAGGTTTACCTATAAAGTTATATTAACATCTAAGGAGCTGTTCAAAACAATAATAACTTAAATTTAACTCCAGGCTGTCAAGACTGGATCCACAGATTTACTTGTAAGTTTATATTAACATATAAGGAACTAATCAAAGTAATAATACCCTAAATTGACTCATTTTAGAACTAGAGAGGTTTAGGGGCTTTCAAGACTTACTTAGAAATTCATAAAAGCATGTAAATGTTTAAAGTAAAATGTGTAAAATGCTTTGTGAAGAGTTTGTTTCTTGTTAATTTTCATTGATAGTTTACTTGCATACATATATTTGCATCAAAAGGTATAAAACTGAAGTTGCCCCAAACAAATATATCATAATATTAAGGTTTAGCTGAACGTTTCCATCCCTATACTTGAGCAAAGTATTTTCAACATTGCTTCGCTGTTATCCAACATCTGATTTTTTAACGATGATTCTTACAAGTATAAACTACAAACAAGATAAGAAGTCATTCTTCTCTGATATTTACTTTTATTGTGATGGGTCCTTAAATGTGAATAATAAAAACACGTAGTTCCAATTGTCTTGAATAGTCAACTGATTGTTAACTTTTGTCAAAACAATTTGTAATGAAAAAATTAAAACATTAAAACAGTTCGAGTTTAAACTGAACCTTATGTAAAGTGTTTTATAGCCGGTTTCGTGGCGTGGGCGTCATTCCTTGTGTAATTATGGGAAAGAGCAAAGTTAAAAACTTGAATTAAAACATCGACATAAAAATAAACAAGAAAAAAAAGTAAATAATAAAGTTATAGATACCAATAAAACAATTATCAACTAAAATGGGAGTTTGGAACTTAGCTTATGTTACAATATTAAATCCTATATGATTTAGCCTTCAAAATACGAATGTCTGTTTGTTAGTTAGAAAGCACTAGAGCTAAGCCATGCATTCATACCTATATATATATATATATATATATAGAGAGAGAGAGAGAGAGAGATTTACGATACATTGTGCAAAGGGTAGTTAAATATGTTGAAATGAATCAGTTTTATTGACTATTTATCAGAATGTTTTTCTCTCTCTCTAGGTGTGGTTCCAAAACAGAAGAATGAAAGATAAACGCCAGAGAATGGCATTCGCTTGGCCTTATGCTGATCCACATTTTGCCGCTTACATGCTAAACGCCGCCGCGGCAGCCTCGGCAGGCGGTTATCCTTACGCTTTACCGGCTGGTGCAATGTCCTTTGGCTACTACGGCACTTTGACTCCTTTCGGCCGATATCATCCTTACAATCTACCGGTTCGGCCACAGTCCACCCTTATAACTTCTCCATATCTACGGCCAACATCAGGCCCCTCTACGGAATCTGTGTCTTTAACGTCTGGAACAAATGGACCCACAACTCCAATGAATCCTCCCACTTTTCCTGATGCTCTCAACGGACACTTCCATGCGTGTGGACCTTCTCCAGCTTTATCCGCTGCTACAGACCCGTGTAGATGTCAGTTGTTCAGCTACCCCGGATTAGGGGTTGGGTTAGGAGTGGGTGTTGCCCCCGGTACCAATAGTAACACCAACTTATCAATTCAGAGTCCACTAAGATGCCCCTCTCAGACCACATCGGAGAATCCTTCTCGACCGAGCCTGTTTCAGCCATATAAAGCAGACGTTGAAAGGGTATAAATCTCTTTTAAAAAATTAAAGTCAGTCAAGAGGATTTTGAAAAATGCTGTGATGAATTATTGTCGAATTCCTAACAATTTTGTTTCAAAAAAAGATTTTGGAATGACAACATGAACTCTCCCATTTGGTGCAATCAGAAAACGTCAGCCAATATATCATCTCACAGAACCTCTTTGCATGACACATGAAGGACCAGAGGACATTGTAAGGCAATTACTGTTTGTTATTTTGTTTAGTTACAATGACCACCAATGATGTAAATATAATGTCTACCTGTACAGTTTCTGTGTATTATAAATATTTTTCTTTCTGAGGCTTAGATATTTACAGCTTTATAGATTTATATCAATGTCATCCACAATTACAGCACTTCTGTCTCTTGAACTCTAACAATGCTATATCTGACTGACAACTCTTTTTATCATATTGTTTAGTTATTCAGAAATAGATAGGCAAAGTGAGTTGTTTGGATGCCAAGTGTCACTTGTTTCAGAATAGTATCTGAGATTTTTTAATTATTTCAGTATCTTTTATTTTCTGTTGCAAAGCTGGGGTGAACATTTACCTTTTCAATCAAATGCTTGAATAAATAAATAATCTTTCTCTACTTTTTGTTCTTGCTCCTTACTTTCATATAGAGCTTCAAATTTTACACTAGTGAAAATCAAACTTTAAACCAAAGAAACCTTGGTATAGCACTAACATATTTTGAATAATTCTACAGATTATCTGCCTATGTAAATAACTATAGCGTAAGTAACTGAAACATGATAAAACTAATCCAAGAAGCAAATATTTCCTAGTAGTATGTTACATTTGAAGAACATATTACTTTTAATATTTGTCTTTTACATTTCCGAATTCTTAAACTTCCAACGCCTTCAATTTAAATATGCAAATTGTAAACATCAAGTAGTGTATGGTTTAATTATTTCTGGATTTTAACTTCAAACTTGAAATCATTTTATCATAGAAATGAAAACAAAATATTCATCTATTACACTTCCTCTGCATCTAATTGTATTTTTATCAATTCTTTTATTGTTTTTATTATTTCACTTTTCATCCATTCCACAAATACTTAATATTTTTACAGACCAGTCATGTATCTTCTGGTTCACTTATCCAAACTGTTGTAACACTGTCTGATCTGTCCATTCACGAGGGTGTGTGATTGCCTTGTTTACTGGGTAATTGGATATTGATGTATTGTATCTCTCAGATCACCAATTCATAAGGTATATGTTATTCATAAACGTGACAAAATAAATTTGAATGCCTTAAACCTATTTACCAAACACTTATTCATAAACGTGACAAAATAAATTTGAATGCCTTAAACCTATTTACCAAACACCATTGTGCATGATGGTGAAAATTGCTTCATTCTTAAAGTGACGAAACCTGTTGTTTAAACAGTATACCTTTGGAAACTAAAAATCCAAGTAGAATTACTGTCGATATAATTTTGGAACAAGATAGTTAAACTGAAAAACGAATGAATAACGATTTTAAACGTATGCCTGTTAAGAAGTATCTAAAAATAAACAACTGATAAGATAATGTTTCTGTTTGTCAATGATGTAGAGCGTTTTTGCAGCTTCACAGTTGTTGGCATTTTTCTTTTCTATATTACACCATTGATAATGAAGATGAAAATAAAAAAGACTGTCTGAGACTTTAGTGGCTCTTTTAGCTACACTGTCCACAATTGTTGTATCTAAAAGAAAGATATAAATCACTGATATAAATGGAGCTGTACAACCCATGGGGTTTTATGAGGGTCTTGTACATACTCTCATGAGAATCATATGTTGGAAGGAATAGTAAAGGTTATATATATATATAAACGTATTATGCTTATAATACCTTTATCTTGTTATGCACATACAAAATATCCTTATATATATATATATATATGTTTTTATCTTTAAGAACCACTTGTCCCTAGACGAATTGTATTTTGTTATAAAAAATCAAAAGTTTTTATTAGAGAAAGTTTGGGCGTGGTAAAATATTTTCACAACTGTTATAAATGGCGTTCAATATGTCTATCGTCATTCTCAATCAACATAAAAAGCCTATCCCTTGAAAGCTACTGCAAGCATATGTTCCGAACATTGTTCATTGATCTCCGCAAATCCGGAACATTTGTTCAAATCGAAAATTCCTGTTAATGGAGATTATACAGGTTTACTGTTGTTCATGTACATCCGTGATTTTACTGCTAGTGGAGATTGTACAAGTTTACTAATGTTCACCTATATCGTTGAGTTTAGTCTATTGGAGATTGTACAACAAAAAGTGCAGTCAAACGTCGGTAACTTCCTTTGTGAGCCAATCAAAATTAAGATTCATGAAATGAATTCGTGGCGTAATCATAGAATAATTATTGATAAAAATCAGATTAACAGCTTATATATAGAAAAGCCATTGCGTTTTGGTACAACGTATTTTCAACATTGGCTTTTATGTCATGTTACTTAGCAACAAAAGTATAACCTAATATTGTTGTTAGTTTATGTACTGAAAGTATAAAATGAAATGTATAGAAACAAGACTGGAAAAATATTTATTGATTTCTAACTTAGAGTCTCCATTAATAAAGAGGTTTG